GCGCTGCATCAAACGCCAGGATTATTATTATCACAAGATCGGGCTTGGATGGGAAAGGTCCACGCGTGTGGGGCGGGAGGGGGGCGACGGTGGTGGGGAGAGAGAAAAAAAAACACAATTCAAATAAAACACAATCAAATAAAATGCTGCCATCTTAGAGGATAATTCATAGAACCCCCCCCCCCCACACCACCACCCCCCACCACCCCCACCACACACAACAGTGAGCAGGTGTATATGTGAATGTGAGGGGGAGGTGGGAGTCAGCAGAGGGTGAGAAAGGTTTGAGTGAGAAAGAATTACTGAGCGCAACAGTGAAAGGAACTGAGGCTAACCTTAGCTGACGCACAACAGCACATGAGCCTCGGGTGTCTCAGTAATCCCACCACTCAAATTGCTTTCATTAATTTACAGCCAGCGATACCCCAAGGTTACATCTAGTCTTTCACCGACCACCAGCGGTTTGTTATTTCCTCTAAGTTCGTAGGACTTGGCATCACTCTGCCTCCATTTACACGAGTTTTACTCCATTAGTCAGAGCGCGAATAATAATAAAAATGATAATGATAATAATGATAACTTCCGCACTTAATGTGCCTCAATTCCTCGTGGAGTCCTGCAGCTCAGTGGTTAGAGCCCTCGCCTCGTAAGCGAGAGGACCTGGGTTCGATTCCCGCCCAGGGCGAAACCTTGGGCAAGTTTCCTTACTCCGCACGCAAGACTGATAATAAACCCCCGAGAAAAGGAAAAGAAAAACCCTAATAAATTGGTCACTTCAACCCGCAGCTGTTTGTGGGGGACGCTGCTGCGCGCGATTGGCTGCCGGGTTTCGCCCACAAAATACCCAGTCGCTCCCCGAAAAAGAACATTTCTGGGAGCGAGAAAGCGAGAGAGAGAGAGAGAGAGACTGAGAGAATGAGAGAGAGAGATGCAATTATCCAAAGGACTGGACTCTCTGAATAAACATCTTGACCTGTCTCGGAAAGGAGAAGTCATTTACATTGTCCGTTAACACAGCTTGTAGAGTGTACAAATAGCATTCAAATTAACACTCTCTCTCACAGGAGAATAACCGAGCATTAAGGTGCTTTTTATTGCTGGATCCTTCACAAATAATAGATTAATTAATTTGTCTTTTCTCTTATCAGTTCGACAAGAATTTTTGCGCTCTCTCTTTCTCTCTTGCTCTCTCTCTCTCTCGCTCGTAGACAGCTGAGTGAGTCGTGTACGTTCTTTCCATTAAAATCAATGATGTCAATAAAGTTTAAAGGCTCCGTCTACGACACCGACTCACGAGTTAGCTTCAATTCTCCCTCAGGAAATGGGGCACTGCTTGCTCCCTCTTCACGTCTCACACTTTGATAAATAATTGTAATAATCCTGGCGTTTTTGGTACATTGCCTCACCATGTCGAGCTGCCTCAAAGCGCATCGCTTATTTGATTTTTTTTTACTGTGAATTGGAGCGACTGTGTATTTTGTAGGACATTCAATTTGCAAGCAGCATTGGCCCGCAAACAGCCGTGAAGCGAATTGAAGGATTTTTTCTGGGGTTGGGCGGGCTGGGGTGGGGTGGGGTGGGGGGGCGGAGGGGGCGGGGCGGGCGAGAGGGGAGGGTGTCATCGGCCAGGACGCTGAGAGATCCTTTAACGTTCCGCCCGAACAGGCACAGACGAGGAGCTCGGTTTAAAAAAAAGAAATGCGGTCACTCAATCCACCACGACTGTTTGCGGGGACGCGGCTGTCTGCCGCGTTTCACCCGCAAAGTACACAGTCACTGCACTTTACGACCTATTCTGTGGAGCTCTGTGGGGACGTCTTAACTTTGGTGAAGGGCACTAAATCCAATCTGGTCCAAGTCCCTAACTGTCCTGCGCCTTGGGGGCGTCCTCCCAACGTGAAAGGCGCTAAACAAATAAATGTAATTTGCTGTTGGATATCAAAGGCAAGGATTATTATTATTAGTATTATTATTATTATCTCTTGCAAAGGACAGCGAGCTTCGACAAAGAGTGTTCTCTGCCGCCCCCCCCCCCCACCCCCAGATCCCCTCCCTCCCACCACCCTCGGCTGGAGACTGAGAGCTCAAACCCCAAAACGTTGGGGGTCAAACCCTGGGACGCTTACCCTGCCTGAGGGGCGCTATATAAATGCAAGTTGTTGTCGGACTTGAACCCACACCACACCACACCACACCGTTGCTCTCAGGCTCCGAGACTGAGGATATTCACTGCAGCAAACAATGACTATTGATTTTTCTTGTGTAAGAGGCTGTGGAGGGACTTCATTACATCACCCCGAGCCGCCAAAAGATTTCTTCTCGCCCACCGCTAAAGGCCTCAGGTTTCGGATGCTTCGATATTTGGTTGAGAAGGGAACAAGGCGTGTTTTGTGAGACCCAAGGGGGTGAGGGGGTGAGGGGATGGAGAGGAGACCGAGGGGGTGCAGGGGTGAGGGGAAGAGGAGAGGAGAGGAGAGGAGAGGAGAGGAGAGGAGAGGAGAGGAGAGGAGAGGAGAGGAGAGGAGAGGAGAGGGGAAAGCTTCTCAAGCAAACTCCCCGAATTAATTCCCTGCAGCTTTTAGGACTCCTAATCCTCGTGTTCGGTCCACCCGTTGCTGCGGTTACCCACCCAGATGCCGTCTTTTTCTGTTGAAACGGGGAGGGAGGAGGACGAGGGGGTGGGTGGTAGAAGGGCGGGGGGTGGGGGCGCGGAGAAGGAATAACGAGACACGCGATGTGCTAATTATCACACGTGTGACAAATGCGCTTGGAAACAGTCAATGACAAGCCTGTCCCATCCCTCCCTCCCTCCCTCCCTCCCTCCCTCTCTCCTGCTTTCTCTCGCTTAAAAGGGGTACGCGGGGGGGGGGGGGGGGGGTGTTAACAGTCCCCAGTCTCGGAACTTATCCACGTTTCCGAAATGTTCCAGTTCCGAAAGACATCGAAACTTTCTTTCAGACGGGTCTTATTTAAGCAACTACTTAATCAGGACAACCTGTTATAAACACTGTAAATACAGAACTGTTCCCCAAAGGGGGTGTCACGTAATGTGGGTTTTTGAGTCGAGGTTGGAAGCAATTACCAGCGGTGTGTTAATTGGACTCGGTTTGTTTCGCTTCAGAGCCTTAATTTGAGATCTCGCGACGGGAAAGTGGAACCTCGGTGTTTCAACTTCAATTGGGTTTAAAAGTAATGTGGTGTGAACACACACACACACACACACAATAATAATAATAGTAATAATGATCCTTGCATTTTGATCCAGCGCCTTATCCCGTCTTCGAGACGCCTCAAAGCGCTTCGCAGAATGTACCGTAGAGTGGAGTGACCGTACGGTTTGCGGGCGAAACGCGGCAGCCAATTGCGCACCGCGGGGTCCCCGCAAACAGTCATGGACGGAGCAAAATTATTGTGAGTGCCCTAACCACTAAGCTGCAGAACTACACATACACACCACACAGGCGTACACCCCCCCAAATATGTGAGGCTATAGATACAGACCTGCATACGGAGCTACAAACACATGTAGACACAGGCACAAAACACGCACACATACACAAAGACATATGCAGACACACAGACACGTGTACACTGTATGTATACCGGGGAAAGAACGGGGGAGTGGGGCTGATTGGACAGCTCTTCCAAAGAGCTGGCACCGGCACGAAGGGCCGAATGGCCTCCTTTCTGTGCTGCAATATTCTGCAATTCTATGATATATATATATATATTTAATAATAATAATAATCCTTGCATTTGATACAGCGCCATACCATGTCTTTGAGACGTCTCAAAGCACTTCACAGAATGTACTGCAAAATTAATTGACGGTATATTTATGCATTTGTATATTATTTAATATATATATATATATACATCACATTATATAAAGATCAATTCTTTCAAAGATGGACTTGTTTGTTCCACACAACAAAATGCTCCCAATGCTATCGTCTTGAAATGTTTGGGATAATTAATCCAAACACAGTTTTCTGCACGACCAGAACTTAAATAAGTCAAAATAAATTGAATAAATTAAATAAGAGTCATTATTTGCAGTTAATTATACCAGCATTTAACGGAGGAGTTTAGGCAAATTACCATTTGCATGAACCCACGCGGCGATCTGCTATTTTTGGAAAACATTTCTTTTTTCAAGGTGAAAACGTGAAATACACCCTCTCCCGATACTCTCACACCTTCACTGGGAATTTGGGTTCACAGATTTTGTGATACGAAGCGTCTAAAGCACCGAATTTCTAAAACGCACATTGTGTAGTTGGGCTGAAAAACATTTAGCCACAAAGAATATGCATTGCATTGCCCTTACTTCACTGTCCCCCACCCCCCACACACACACACCCCCACCCCCCACACACACACACCCCCAACTCCCACACACACACACGCACACGTCTACCGACACACACACACACACACACACCCCTACAAACACACACACAGACACACAAGCAATATTAGGTCAATTTTTTGCGGTATTCTTTTAAGGCGGTCCTCGTCTTAATTGATAGAAGGAACACGTTAAGGACTACTTGCAAATTCCACTCCCAAATGAATGGAGAAAGCACCCCAGCTGCTCTCCGCCAATTCCCCCTCTCTCGCGTGTCTCAACAGTTTCTTTGACGTTACCACTTTCTGCTGGATCCTGAGCTGACGCTTGGCCAACTAAAAAGTCTGATTAAACGTTCTGTTACTCGGGCAAAGGGGATCCGTAGTTCAATCTGAGAATGAAACCGACTGACGGCTCGGCTTGTTGATGCCGTGGAGATGTCCAGAGATAAGGACATAAGAAAGGTTGGGCGAATAAAAGACCAAGGTCCGTCTAGTTCACCTTCCTGCCGGTCGCCCCCACCTACTCCCTATGTCCTATCAACATCTCCTGCTCCAACCGTCTCCCTCGGGATCCTGTTCCTCAAACTCCCTGCTGCACGCGAGATAAACCGCCTCTGGTCGCTTTCGCGACACGCGGCTTCACTCACCGGCTTCCCTGGACATCTGTACGAAGGCCTCGACTCCGCTCTCCCCGTAGCTGCCCTCGGAAGCGAGGGTCGAGACGTAATTCCACCCCAGGGCCTTGACAATGTCCACCATCGCTTGGGTCTGGTAGGAGTCCGGGGGCACCACCCGAGAGAAGAAGGAGTAGCTGGCGTTGTCGCTCAATTCTGGGGCCGTGGAGGCGTAGCTGATTTGTGGGATCTGGAGAGAGAGAGAAATGCAAGTAGTTGTTGCTGGTGGGGGGGGCGTGGGGGGGGGATTGATCCCTTCAGCCCCCAAAAATAATAATTTGGTCACTCAACCCATGGCTGTTTGTGGGGGTCGCTGCCGTGCGCAATCGGCTGCCGCGTTTCGCCCGCAAAATGTACAGTGGATTCACTTTACAGCGTAGCCCGTGAAGCGCTTTGAGACGTCTGGAAGACGCGATGAGGCGCCGGGTCAAATGCGAGGGTTATTGTATTATAATTAATCTTATTGTTGTAAACGCCGAGTTGCTTTTTTTTCCTCAAACGAGTGCCACCGTCCCTGACCTCAACCACCCTTCCTGCCGCGTCTCCGTTCCGCTCATTAATCACCCCGTGGGTAAAGTTAAACCTCCCAGTGTTTGCCCTGAAATCGCCCTGGAATCGGACCCTGTGTCCTCTCGTTCCGCTGTCTCTCGGTGCGGCCTTGAGTCGGGCCAGTAAATAAGCAGGAAAGGGTTGCAGTGCAATGAAACGGTGCGTGATGTGACCCATGCAATGCAACGCGATTTGTTCGTGGAAAGCGCTTGACAGGTGTAATTTAAACCCTTTCTTTTAAATGGTCAGGGTGAGGGGAGGGGAGGGAAGGGAGGGGAGGAGGGAGCGAGGAGGGGGGGTAGAGAGTCGAGAGGGGAGCTGAAGGCTGGGCAACTGATTTGCACGCGGCGCTTTTTCGGTCAAGACATAAAATGATTAATAATTCTAATGATAATAATTATAATAATAATAATAAAGAGCCTGGGGTTCAAAAGTAGCGCTCTGCGGGATTGACTGTAAAGCACAACCGCCAATTATATTTGTGCAGCGCCTTTCGCATCGGGAGGACGTCCCAAAGAGCTGGACAGTCAAGGATGCGCCGCCGAGCTAGGGGTCAAGTGTAGTGACTGTGCCTTCTTCAGGCCTACAAAATACCCAGTCACTACACTTTACAGTATATCCGGTGGAGCGCGTCGGGATGTGTATAAGACGTTGCATCAAAATTGCGAGGATGATCAAAATTCAGTCGAAAACGTTTTGTTCCTGAATCACTTTGGACAATAAATGTCCAAACGCCAGAGACGAATTGCTTTTTCACAGCCGCTATTTCCACTGTATTGTTTTACCGTCGGCCGGAAAAAGGGGAAGGAATCGTTTGTTTCTGGGACTATAAAATATCTGTGCATACGTCTCACCCGCTCTGACCCCCACAGACCGCTCTCAGGGATAGGGGAAACTGCGCGTTGTCTGCAAAGGCCTCTCTGAGTGACAGGTTTTCACATCGGTTCAGTAGCGGAGCGCCGTGAGCTGCAGTTTGCTGGGAGCAGGTGTGATGGTGTCAACCGTGAGGAGAAAGAACATTCATTTTCACAGCGTCGGGAAATGATAGAAAGAAATCCTTAAGGAGGAGATCGCGTCGGCTCTGTCCTCACTGGGACCTTAGCTCCGTTCCCCCCCCCACCCCCCCCCACCCCCATCCCTCCACTGCATACTGTCCTTCGGATGAGACGTTAAACCAAGGTCCCGTCTGCCTGTTCAGGTCGGTGTTAAAGATAACGCGGCGCTATTCAAAAGAGAAGGGAATTTCTCCCTCTCTCTCCCGGTGTACTGGTCAACAATCTCCCCCCCCCCCCCCCTCCCCCCCGCACTCCCCCATCCCCTCACGCAAATAAAATCGGTCCGTGGCCGTTTACGGGAACTTTTGAGTTTGCTGCAGCGTTCACCCGCAAAAACGCACAGTCACTACACGTTACAGCAAATCCCTGTGAAGCGCTTTGAGTCACCCTTCCAACGTGAAAGGCGCTGTACTAAAACAGAAGGGAACGGCATTATTTTTATTACTATTCTCCCCCCCCCAACCCCTCACATACATACAAACACACTCGCGCACGCACACAAACAAATAAATTATAAATAGAAGAGCACGGTATAGATTGGCGTAGAATTAGCCGGGATGCCGAGCCTGAAGTAACGCGCCAATTTATGGTCAAGAAATAAAATTAAAGGGACATATCGCAACTGTTGTCCAGCGGGCAAATATGTACAACAAGCCGGGTGATCAGAATGCTTAATGAGCGTGCTCAGAACCAATCTGCGGACTGTAACGAGTTATGGATCTTTCAGCGACTGCACAGTTCATATCCTGGGTCCACACGCATTAACTACTGAGCAAACCATATTTCTTCTGAGCTCTCCCCTCTGATGCAATCCTGCGGAGTAATCGACGTGCGCGAGCGCGCAAGTGAACCGACGGCGCTCGCAAACGCAGGAAGTCAGCCCACCGCGCCAGTGTCTGCCGAGCTTCCCGCTTTGAATCCCATTTCCCCCGCACTTCCCGCTTACCCCCATAAATTGCCTTCATTCTTCATGCGAGTCAATCTGACTGCCAACAAAAAACAACAACAACAACAAGATTCCATTTATTGAGCGCCTTTCACGTCGGGAGGACGTCCCAAGGCGCTGCCATTTCCATGACGTTCATTGCCTCACTTTCAATTTAATAATAATAATAATAATTATCCTGGCATTCGATACGGAGCCTCGTCACGTTTTCGAGACCTCTCAAAGCGCTTCACTGAATATACTGTGAAGTGAATTGGCTGTGTATTTTGCGGGCGAAACGAGGCAGATAATTGTGCACAGCAGCGTTCCCCACAAACACTCGCGGACTGAGTGACCAAATTATTATTATTTATTTTTTCGAAGGGATTATTCCTACCGGAAAAGCGATCCGCCAATGGATTAGCAACCGGGTTCCTACTCGCTGCGAGGTACGCAGAGCTTTGCCCTGACCGGGTATGGAACCCAGGTCCCTCGCTTGCGAGGAGAGTGCTCTAACCACTGAGCTACAGGACTCCACAAACTTGTTTGCATCAACCCAGACTTGGCTCCTCGTGCCCTCGCTTGCGCCGACATCCAACGACTCAGGTAGGAACAGGTCTGGAGGCCGGGAGTGCCATGGACACCGATGGCAAGAGTTGTCGTTAACTAACACTAATTGGACAAGATTGCCATGGTGACAGTCCGGGAGGCGAGCTGGTGAGAGTAATGGAAATGTCACACTGCCTCCCAGTCTGGGTCAGAACGTCTTTGACTCGACGCAGAAAGCCAATTAAGGTCTCCGTTTGGGTCCAAACCGCAAAATTGAAAACTGTCACGTTTCCCAGTTTGCGACAAGGAGTGAACGCACGGATACTGAGAGACGACGGAGAGACACGGAGAGACGCAATGGTGCCACAGAGAGAAAATAACTTCAATCGCCTTATTCTGGGTAACGTTGAAACTGGAAATTCAGAGGAGAGAGAGAGAGAGAGAGAGAGAGAAAGGGGAAAGGAACGCAGCCCTCCAATATTAATTACACAGGAAGAATAAAACTTATGATAAGACGCCAACCAATAATACAATAAATCACTTTTGATGGCAGCAAATTTATATATTAAACAAAAAATCTCCACCTTATCACTCACAACTAATTCCTTCGGTGCCCGTTATCTCCCCGCTTTTGTTTGGCTCTAAGTGAACGCCACTCGTAGCACCGACACGTTAACATGTTATGAGCGCGTCTAATTAGTTGCACTCAGCGGGTAATTATCGGAGACATCTACAGCCACTATTGGGTCAGGAACCAAATAACGAAGAAAGTGCAAAAATGTCCCCTCATAAAAGTTACGCGGGTTTCATTCTCGCTTCAAACCGGGCGCAGAATTTACCTCCAGTCTCAGATTTAAAAAAAACAAATGGTTTCGACCCGGTTGTTAGTCGACGGGCGGATTGCTTTCCAAGGGGTAATAATCCCTCCCCAAAAAGAGAGTAATAATCACGTGATCGCTCAATCCACGACTGGTTTGTATAGGGACGCTGCTGTGCGCAATTGGCTGCCGTATTTCGCCCACGAAGCACACAGTCACTCCACTAGACAGCGTATCCTGTGAAGCGCTTTGAGACGTCTCAACGACGTGATGAGGCGCTGTATTATCAAATGCGAGGATTGTTATTATTATTGTACACTGAGCCGCCCAAGTCCAACTCACCTCACCTCCTACCTGCACAAACCTGTTCAAATCCTCGTCAATCACACACAGGTTTCCCCACGTGCCTCAGCCCTGACTCAATCGGTAACACCTGGCACCGTGGACCAGAAATGAAACTGAACATTCACAGTAATCCTTCCTTCCATTTGATGTCGCGCCTTATCACGTCTTCGAGACGTCTCCAAGGGCTTCGCAGGATAAGTGAATTGACTGTGTATTTTGTGGGAGGACGTCTCAAGCTCGTAACCGCCAACATCTCTGTGTGATTGAGTTGCCGTTATCTATCAGGCCATCGGAGTTTGGTTTGTCTCTCTGGCGTGTGTGTTATTTTTTTTCTTCCACTTAAATGACTTTAACGCAGTCCCCACTGAAACTCCCGTTTGGACAACCAGCCCAATCGAGTCCTCTACTTCTGTCACATTAGATTAATTACCGAACGAGAGTTAGAAATTTCATTGGGATTAGAACTTGTTTTTATTTGGGATTTTTTTTTAAAAAAAAGAAGACAAGTTGGAAACTCAACACTTCATCCATTAAACCTCGAATTACCTGTTTCCCCAGCGTGAAACTGGCATTTCTCTCACATTAATCACCGTCCCTTCGGGGATTTCATTACTGTCAAATTTCTACGCATTTCCTTTGATCACCATCTCCTTCACTTGCTCACTTATTTTTGACGCAAACCAGTGGCAAATTGGTGGTAAAATGCATGTGCGGTCACTTCGAGCGCGCGCGACCCCCCCCCCCACACCCCCACTCCCCTCACCGTCAATCCTTCCCTCCCCCACCACCCTGCCTCTTTACTCCCCTCTTTTCGAGGCCGGAATTCGTCCATTCGGAGGTTTTGTCTCAGAAGAACGGAGATTGCGCAGAATTCTTCAGTAGCCGTGGGATCATTGTCCTAGCCAACAATCCTCCAGCTAGTGCGAGCTTTATTATTATTATTATTATT